AGGTTTTGCAGTAGTATTAGGAGGCTTGATTTAGTAATAGTTATAAAGCACTCTGGGATCCCATTATGGAAGTCCTTATAAAAAAAACAATATTTTTTTTTACTTTACTACATTTAAAGAGGCAATGTTGGATTAAAAATCCTATTATATTAAAAAACCAAGCTTCCTTACTTGTATTTATAATCTCTTAGACTATTAAAACTGATAATTTAAAAAATAAAATTTGATCATTATAAATGCTGTTTGTTTTTATCCGTGTCACTCAGCTCAGACAGTAATATATTAGGTTAGCCTTTTGTTTTCAGTCATTTTCTCTTGCCGGCTGTCATTCAGCAGCACAATGGTGCAATGTTTAGGTCTCAGATACTGCTGGGAAATGTTTAAATCACCTGGGATATATAGAAAAAGAATAAATTAATGGAACTATTTCTTCTGAGCTTTAGGATTTGTAAAACTTTCCAAACCATCAATTGTGGGCCTACATTAACTTGATGGTGTCTCCTTCTTTTGAATTCATAGATCTAGCTAGCTTAAAAATATCAGAGGTGGGTGAATCTAATGAAGTTACATTTTAAGGATTTTAATCATGCTTGCATGTGGTACAGTTTGCTTCATAGCATAAGAATTGTTCAGAAATTTCAAGCACAGAAACAACAAGCCAGAACAAGCTTCTGATTTTTTTTTTTTCTATTGAGAGTTAATGATGTGGCAAAAACATGACTAGATAACATTTATTTCTTTACATGCAGCAACACCTGATTCCTTCTGAGAAGAGTGATTAATATAGAACCCTATGCCGAAAGGGAAATAAACCAGAAGCCCTCATCTGTAATCTGTGCTGCACTCAAATAGGTTTCTATAGCTCCAGGCGTGCTACGGCTGCTTGTGGTATCACAGCTTTTCTGCAAAGGATTTACTTGGGTTTTTTTCGTTGTAAACCACTTCTTTCAGAGGCTTAAATGTGGGATAAACATTTCTTCTGCACTGAAAATTGGAATATAAACACCCTGCCTAGATATGGGAGCTTTGTGCTTTCCAACAAAATGCATTTTTTTCTAAATGCATCTTGGGATCTAGTTTAGTTTTAACCTTTTTGGCATTTTCATAATATCCATGAAATGAAAATGTGCAGATTAGTTACCCTGAGCCCCAATTGCGATTCCCACTTTGAGGGAAGATGGGAAAGCTTTAAAATGAACCTACATTTTTGTTCTCAGAAATGACGTGAGGGGTGTGTGTGTGTGTGTGTGTGTGTGTGTGTGTGTGTGTGTACAGCTGATGGGTGTTAAATTATAGCTGCTCCATGCAGGTGAGCTGGGCAGGGAGGCCTTTTGTTGGACCTACGAAGGAGGCAGTCAGACTGCAGATGCTTGCAGTTCCTGAGTGCAAGGAGAGGAGACTGGCTGCACTGCTCTCTCCAAAGGAGAGGGGTGTGTGAGTGAGATGGATCCTGGCTCCTTTGTCCACCAGGAAGAACATAGTAGCACCCAGAAGGGAAAACCCTGTGATGAAAGCATCTTTTACTATAGTTTTTGGCAAGTGTTAGTGCTGAGCATCTTTGGCGGCATCCAGCCGTACCCACATCCATGTGCTTCGCCCAACACGTACGTCTCTCTCCAAGAATCACAAATTTGGCCAAAAGAATTCATAGCAGTCTTTTCATTCTTTGCTCTCAAAGCAACTGTCTGTTGGGTCAGGACTGACTGCTGCTAAAAGTGGTGGTAGTTTTTTATTTGGAGTTTGTGTGTGTGTGTGTGTGTGTGTGTGTGTGTGTGTGTGTGTGTGTGT